ATGGAAGAGGAACTATGTCTCAATTTGCCCCTCTCTATGCAGAGGGTATTTGTGGCATATAAGGTAATAAGAGACCAACATCCTGAGTTTCTATGCAGTACAACCCAACTTACCACTGTCTTCTCCTACTGCCTCTCCGTTTAGCAACAGGGAGTACCAAGCATCTTCATTCATTCAAAACCAGTATATTGAGTGAATGCCTACCCTGGCACCATACCAGAGGAAAATCAGGCACAGGATATCAGACACATAGACACCAAGTCTCTCTACGCAGTTAGTACCCTGACAGCGGGGACGTTACTCCTCTTCTGCACCCAGCACCCAGTACTGCATGAGGCACACAGGAGAAGCTGAGGAAATGCTGAGCGAATTAGAAAATCAATGTGCAAGAGGGAAATGGTTAAGTAGCATAAGGCAGATCAAATCCTATGCAAGCAGGGAGGAGGGAGAATTAGGTCCAGCTGAGGAAGCCAAGAAAGGGCCAGTGACAGAGGGGGCAGTTGAGCTAAGCCTGACAAGATGAGTGGGATTAGGGTATGCATAGATGGGGCATAGAGGAAGAGGAGAGAAAAATTCCAGCCAGAAAGAACAACTAGCAAGGCATGATGGTGTCTATAAGAACATGGATAGCTGAGGTTGCAGTCTTCATGCCTTTTGAGGAATAATAGCTTGAGTGCTAACAATCCAGAGTTAAGCTGTTTCTAGATTGTTCAGGGCCAAGTAAGTTAGGCAAAGGAGTTTAAACATCTGTAGGTGGTAGGAGGCATCGAATCTTCTGAGCAAAGATGGTTGGGTGGCAATGAGATTAGGAAAGTGAACATGGTGGCAGAGTACATCAGGACTGGAATAAGCAAGGAGTCCCTTTAGAGAAACCCTAAACTAGGACAGGAGCAGGCAGCCTCGGCCATACCACTGGGCAGAGCAGAAGAGTGGCTGTGGGCCAGCAGGAGGAGGTGGGACTTGTAAAGTGATTTTTACTCATTTACTCCCTGTAAATGATCAGTCCTTTCTGGAACCCAGTTTCCCCATCTGTAAAACAGAGGCAATAAAATGGAGTCATCATCTCCTAGGTTCCATGTGAAGCTGAGATGTGATTAAACAAGTGAAGTGCTTACCCTCATGCCCCGCACGGAGCAAATTCTCAATAGACATTTGCTAATCCTGGTCAAATTCTGTCCATTGGCCAGAAGTCCCAGTCAAGTCAGAGAAGCTTGTTTCTGCCAGGGAGGTGGAAGGGTAGCTGACCACAGTCCACAATCCCCCCGCCCAACCTCCCCGCTCCCCCTCCCAATCCTGGGTGGCCAGGCACACACATCCTCAGGAAGCTGACACACACCCTCCTCGTCACTCCTCAGCCAGCTAGTGGCAACCAACAACCAGAAATGTGCAGCTCCATGTGGGGACCTCTGTCAGGCAAGTTAATGTGCTCAACAGAAAACTCATAGCCCCAACACTGTGAGAGGGAAGGAGGAAGGGAGGGGAAGACCTGACTCAGAAGTTAAATGCCTTAGAAGTTAAATGTCTTAGAACACAGGAGTATCACAGCATTCAAGCCAAGACCTCTGACTGCAAGACATCTGACCTACAAGTGGGCTCACTTTTGGGAACCCTCATGCTCAAGATTTTGGGCTCTGACCTGCTAGGAACATGATCAATATCTTGGCAGAGAGAGCACAGGCCCTGCATCCAGGCAGCCATGAGCTCCAGTCTTGGCTTCGGTGCTCCCTGGCCATGTGACTATGTAAATAAGGACATCAGTTAAATGAGGGTACGTGAGATAATGTGTGTTCAGCACAGACTGTAGCCCAGTGCCTGGGACCTCTGGCATAAAGACAGAGGAATGTGGAATTTGGAGAAATGGTTGCTCACACCTGAGACGAGGATGGGACCTCGCCTCTCATAACCGATGCCTGCCTGAGACCTTGGTTTCTGCTTAGGTGGAAGTGGTTTTAACCAGGCTCAGAGCCTCTCCATACTCCCTACCCATGGCCTCCATGTGACTCTCCCCCACGTCTTTTTAGATGGCTCCTCTGTCTTCCTTTGCATGGGGGTTCTGTGTTTCTCCACAATAGTGGTCTCTTCTCTTCCCTGGTCCAATCACAGCCCACCCTCCTCACTCCAAGAAGCTGGATATCCCATCTCTGCATCTAAAGGGGGACCAGAACTGGTGACAGAAGACTCACCAGTCACTCATGTCATTCCCTAAAAAGCTTTTAGTTAGTCCTTTCTGCAACTCCTTTTGAATCCCATTTATGAGTGACCAGTTCCCAAAAGCAAGAATGCCAGCCCAAGAGAGCAGGAATGGGGATTTGAGAAAAAGAAGAAAATAAATGTGTTTCTGTGCTCAGGGAAGCTCTCCACACAACGCAGCTCAACTTCCTACTCCTGCATTGCCATCTGGTTGCTACTGGCAACCAGGCAATCATATTTTTCTAGTCCCAGATATAATCATCATAATCAATATAGGGTATTTATCCCACTCCTTGGTTCCAAGGAACTCAAAGATTTTCACATCTATTATTCTTTCTTCACTAATGTGAAGGAGAGAAGGGGAGGAGGTCTGCTTGTTGATGGGGTGTGGGGAAGGACTATTTAACAGATGGAAAAACTGAGGAAATGGGTAAGAAGGAGGCTGTGGGAACATGTCATAAGAAAACAGTATTGTTAAAAGCAGTTTGCATTTGGATAGTGCGTTCACTTTTATTCTCTCATCTCATTTTTACAACATCCCCCGAAGTAGGTTCATTTATCACATAGACAAAGCCCCAAAAAGTAAAGGATCTTTCTAAAAACACACCACTAGAAATGACATTGCCTAAACTGAAACCTAGGGCTTGAGTCCCTTTTAGTATATTTTTCCTGCAGCATCTCTACAAACAAGTACAGTGTACTGTGGGAGCTACCATGTCTCTTGTATGCATTACCATCCCACCATTGTAAGTGTTTCTCATTATACTTCCATTGTGCATTACAGTGGCTCTTACACATATGATGTTTCTGTCTAGTCCTGGTTGACACCCACACCAAATGGTCAACAGGGCCAACAAACATGACTAGATTAAAGCACCTGACTGGGTTGGAAAATGTAGGAACTATATTTAATTTCCTAAATTCTATAAATGTTCCCTTACTAGAGTAAAACTTGGGAGGAAAAATCAGTATGTTTGACTCTGAGATCACTCACCGCTTTTGACAGCTCTGTGATGTTACCTGTTCCTACAGCCACTGGTTTGATGTCACCTTTGTCACAGTAACAGAGCGATACCAAAAACACGCTTTGGGGGTCCCTGAAGTGGACAGGAAGCCTCCTACCCTACACACCCAGCAAAGGCTTCAGTGCCACCCTTGCTGGTTAGTGCCAAACACAGGCGGCTGGAGGTAACAAGACATTCAATGAAACACAACTGCAAGAGAAAACATGTGGCCATGGCCACAGCAGAACCATTCTAAACTAGGGTGTTTTTCTGAGGCTTGTGCTCAGCGTCCATTTCCCTTTGGAGACAGCACAAACACCACTGAAAGGAAGAGAGTAGCGGGCTTATGCATGAAGCTTCCTCTCTGTTCTCAGAAAAGAGAACCAGTTGGACACCACCTTACCTTTTATGATTTCCTACTTAGAGAGATGCACAATTTACCACTTAGAAGGAGAGGCCCAAAACAGAAGACCTGACCTGTGCCACCTGTGATACCCGAGACCCCCTGAGCAAGGAGATAAAAGGACTCAGGTCAGCCCTGACTTCCTAACCTCATCTGGCACCTCTCGGGATTCTAGAAAGAGTCACCATATTGGAAAATTCCCTCCATATCCTCATTCCATTCAGGTGAGTAGGCAGAGGAGGGAAATTAGAAACAAAAGTGCCCAACATGCTAACACCAGGCTAAGGATTCACAGAAGGAAAAGTTGATGACCCCAATCCCTAGAGATGGATGAACCAGTGCCAGCCCATCAATAAAAGCATGTTCAGCACCTACTAGGTGCCATTACTATGAAACTGCTCCAAGCTGGGCCTTGAAACCAGGCTGGCCTGCCCACCACTGTACAGCCTTGCCTGACTCCAGGGACACCTCCCGACTTTGGTTACCCTTCCTTTCCGTTCCTATTTCCTCAGTTTCTGACACTTTGCTTTTGTCTCTCCTTCTCTATCCCCAGTGCCCTCACTGGCATCAGATTTGGCACTCCCAGTACTGGCTTTCCAAGCTCTCTTTTGGCCACAGTGTGCACCCAGCTCCCGGTTCCACGGTTTTCTGGCCACCACAGCATACCCGCATTGCTGTCCCTGGGGCCCAGTTCACCTTATCCATCTTGGTTGGCATCTCTGCCATGCCTGTCCCAGCTGCCCACGGTAGGACGCAAGGAGGGCAGAGAGGTAGGTGAGCACTCTGTGCATGCTATACTGTCTCTCCCCGAGGCTTAGCAAAATTCAAACTTAGAAGTTTAGTTTCCCTCAAGATACAAATCAGTCTGTGGCTTTTCTTAAGTCATGCTGTTTCAAGTCTATCTTAAAGTAGATTCCCAACTACAACTATTTCTTTTCTTTGTATAATACTTGCTTCTTTCCAAGGAGCTTGCCAACTGCTATCTGTTTTTAGCCACGTAACTTCCTTGGGATGAATGTAGTCAGATCAAAGAACATGAACCCCATTTTGCCTCATTTGGGGACACTGAGGCACACAGCCCATGAATGACGTTATCCTAAGTGTGGAACAGTGAGCTCTGCTTTGCTCTGACCACCTTCAGCTGCATAAGCTGGCACGGCCTTGATGGGTACAGGTGTAGAGAGTTAGAGGATTAGTCTCTTGTATGGATGGAACACTAGCCTTGTCAGTGGTGATTACCAAAGTCTCCACTCTAATTTTTCACCCAAGTCCAGAGGCTCAACCTTCTTTCCAGGTCTCTGCTCTGGGGCCACCCTAGGAAGAGACAGGGCTGAGATCCAAGTTCCCAGTCTGCTCCATTCTCCCCAGCCCTTCTTTGCGCATAAAGAACACTTGTTGGGGCATCAGTCTGTGCTTCTGGCATCTGGACACATCAGCCTATATCTCTAGGACTTGAGCAGGAAGTACGTGTGACTTGCCTCGGGCTTCCTGGCCACACAGACCCATATCCTCATTTAGAATGGTTGCATCATGGAGCCGGCTGAGATCTGCAGTCTTCAGTGTCAGCTGTGGGTCCACAAACTCCTACTGAACATGTACCCATAGCCCGAGGGGAAAAAACAAGGGAGGAAAGAAAATAATCAAGGTGGGGAGAGGGGAGAGATTCTGGAATCTAGACAACATCAAGAGCCTGTTTCCATGACAACCACTCCTTAATACAGTTGCTCAGACTGCAGCCTGTTCTAATCAGCCCCGTGGATGGAGCCTGCAGACCCAGAAATGGCCTCCACCCAGGGGGCTCCCAAGCAGCCTGGAGGACCACCATCATCCTCCGACCACCCCAATCTCCTACAAAGAGAACAGAGGGCAAAGGAGGGGTGAGGCTTACAGGGGAGGTGAGAAAGAACAATGAGGAGTGTTGAAGAAAGTGGAGAGTGAAAGGAAGGAGTCAGAGATGCAGCCGGACGTTCAGGGGATTGTCTGTGGGTGTTTGCTGGAGCCACCTGTGTCCAGCGACACTTGTCTTTGTGTTGGTGAGCCTCTGAGCAACCACATGATGCATGACAGGCTGCAGCCAGTGTGTGAGTGTGACCATCCACAGCACGTCCACTGAGCCCATCTCCCTTCCCCTTCCTACACATTGGAGTGCCCGCTTCCTCTCTTCTCTCTTTCCCTGTAAAGCTCTAAGCTTTGTAGTCCAAGGATAAACCCTGTGAAGCAAAGGCCAGGATCAGCACCCAGCCAGAAGTAGGTATCAGCAGCTTCCAACAATTTCTCAGCAAATTGTTGGGATAGAGAGAAGAATTGTGCTAATATTCTCTAAATTAGAGGCTTCTGGCTTAGGGACACCCCCGACCCTGCTCCCTACGGACTTCTCAAGTTCCCAGAAAATGATGGGTGACTTCTAGGTTTTCTTCCAATCCACATATGAGACCTCAGAGGCTGGCAACTTGTCAAACTCACCTGCTGGGTCAGGTGTCAGCCTCGAGACTCTGTCCCTGGAAAGCCACACATCCCCCTGCACACTCCAGGCTGCACTCTCCTTCTTCCTGTATTCATCTGGCAATACCCCAAACACGCTGCAAATCAAATGACATATGAAATGCTGCACACTCCGTCCCACTCTGAAGGGAGTCCGTCTATGGGGACAACGGGTCTGGTTTATATTTTAAGCAGCTGGAGTAAAAAATGGGGAGTGATGAGGTAAGGCCATGGCAACGAACACCATGCCACTATCCAGGATAATTACTTTGCCCAGCCATCCTGGAGCCAGGCGGCGGAAGGCTTGCCCCATAGATTATGAGCAATGAGACAGGGCCAGCCAGCTTAGGAATTCCCTTCCTCCACCTGCACCTTCACTGCAAACGGAAACAGCAGAAGGAACCAATGCAGTGGGAGATCCCAATCAAAGCAAGATGACCTGTCCCTCAATTTCCAATCGTTGGAGAAATGCAAAGAAAAGTCCCTTTGCATACCCCTCCTCCAAGTTACTACATGGAAAATCAGGGCTCTGAATTTCAGTGATGGCTGCTGAGCCAAGAGACGAGGAAAACCCACAATCAACACAGGACAGAGACAGTGAAAAGGTCAGTGATGAGAGAGGGGAAAGGAGAAGCTGAAAGATGTTTGCCACAAGCTAGGAATGACCTATTAAAATCCCCAGCACCTCCCTCAAGCTGGGATGCAGTCCCTGTTAGTGGCTTCACAGCAACTATACCCCACTCAATGCAGGCTGCTTCAGGGCTCCAGGACACTCGGACTATTGGCCAGCTCAGATGCCACCCCTGCAGGAGCACGTGGAGCCATCTGACTTGGATAAGACTGGGCTTCCCTGCTGCAATGCCCTACAGATGCTCCATCGCCACATACCCACGCATTGCTCAGGGATCATGCCCATGTTGACCTCAGCCCCAAAACACAGATGGGAAGGAGCATGCCCAGGGAGCATCCTCAGATTTTCTTTTCCTTTGTTCCCTGAGTCCTCAGATGAAAACAGCTGCAAGCTGATGCCCTGGAGAAGAGAATCCAATTCAGGTGCCCCACCAACTAATACAGGGCATCCACTTTGCTCTTCAAAGGGAATCAGAAGTGCAATAGTCAGAACCTGGTGCATAGAAAGACCCTGAAAATTCCAGGCCTGTGCCAGCTGCCTCCCCTCATGGTCCTAAGTGGAACCCCTTAAAGTATCCGAAGAAATTGACTCCTGAGGGGCAGAAATCTAACAGGGAGGGATGTGACCACACGTGTGTGTGCATGTTTGCCTGCAAGCACGTGCACAGACACACACATCCTTACAAATGAAACTGAGATCACTGGTGATATGTGGGTGTATGTGTGAGAGTTAGGGGGTTGTGCATGTGGCTACGTGAAGCTCGGGATCACAAATGGAAGGAGAGCTCCATCTGAGAAAAAAAAAAAAAAAAAAAAAACACAGAAAAAGCCACCAGCCGGGTACCCTCCGCACCAAGAGATCCTTAGCTTGTTGCGCTCTCATTGGCCTCTTTAGCCTCTCCTATTTTCAGTGAAACTCTCCTTTGTTTCTCCCACCCCAGGTTGGCCCCAGACCACTAAATACACACCACCTGAAGATACAGCAAAACCCAGAGGTGGTGACCACAGCAACATGAGTACACACAATGCAGACTGTCAGCAGCAGGAGGGCCATGTGATTGCAGAGGGCAGCCTGACAAGCCCATGTGATTCCCTCCACATTAAGTGGAAACCACTCTCTCCACTGAGAAAGAGAGGTGAAGAGGTGGGAGGAGTGAAAAGTGAAATTAACTTGAGCCAAGATTACGCCCATGGGTTCCGTAGAGACCAGGCAGGAAGGAAAGCCAAGAGGAGGGGCAGGAACTGTATCCAGTGTGTGGTTGTGGTTCTGGGAGGATGGAGCTTTTGAGAAGTGTGTCTCTGGTACACCCTACGCAGGAAAACCTCAGGACGACTTACAGGTGTACAAGCATGTGTGTGGGTTTGAAGCACATTTATAAATTGGGTTAAAGGGTGGTTAGGACCACAGATTCTGGTTAAAATACCAGCTTTAGAGTATATGACCACTTAGAGCTTCAATGTCCTCATCTACGAGGTGTAGATAACAGTAAAAAACTATCACAGGGTTGCTTTGATGACATAATCCATGATAAAGCATGGGACGTAGGGCCTGGCATGTAGTAAGTGCTCCATAAATACTAATTCGGTTTATTATTATTTGACATTCCCCATGAGCTCAGGTCTAAAATGACATAGCAAAAATAGGGTAGGTTGATACATAACATTATTATTTGCAAGAAAGCCATTGTTCATATTACCCAGTTAAACAGGGAACTGCTAACTTCTCAACCACACACTGAGTATCAACATAGGATGATAATTCTAACTGGATAATCTCAGTATTAGTCTAACATATATTTAAAAGTATCCCATAGTGTCATGGTAAAGCAAGAACTTTGATATTAGACTATGGGAGTATTCTATTTTTTGCCACTTGCTGGCAATTAGGCTGGCTTAGCCTAACGCCCTGCACATATTAACACCCCAATAGCTGTTTTTAAAAATTACAGTTCTGTGGAGTTTTAGATGTGCTTAATATTGACAATTCTGTTTTTGGTCTAATAGCTTTTTTTTTCAATCATCCTTATAGTTGATTGTCAACATATCAAAACAAAAAGATTTATTCCATATCAACTGCCCACTGCTAGACAGTAAGTCGTCGATGGGACTTTCACAGGTTTACATGAAACACGTGGATGTATTAATTCTTCAACCCACATTGAGATGAACTGTCACGTCCCTTTTAAACTCCATCACAGGCAGCAAGTATTAACCTGCAATTATTACCGTGTATAATGTGCTTTACAATTGGCAAGAATGTCAACAGTCCCTGGTTCATTCAGCAACCCTGGTATCATTCACAAACTGCAGTTCTCATTTTTTTCCTCAGGCCTGGAGGCAACTGAGAAGCAGAAAATAGTCTCAGCCAGATCCAGCCGCCCTGACACTTGCAGTGCAGGTGGCAGGTGCCGGAGCTTCAGACACGTGGCCCACAGGTGCAACAAGCCCACCTTGCTGGGGCTCTGCAACCACAGAGGCCCGTCCCAGCCAATGAAGCCATCCCTGGGGGACTCTGGAAATTCTCCCTGCTATCTGCAAACTGGTCTCTCAGAATGTGTGGCCATCTACACTTTAGAATACACAAACAAGCAATTTACTTGGTGATTCATATTATACATACATGTATATACACAGGTATACATGGATATACATATACACACATTATACTCGTACATACACATGCATGCATAGACACACATATGCATATATACATACGCATATACATATACACATACAATGTGTATACCCATGCATAGCTACCCTTCCCAGTCACCTTAGGTGACACATTTTGCTAGGGATCTTTGTGGGACAAGAAGGGGCATTTTCTGCTGCTCAAATAGCTTTTGGAACCAAAACATGTGCAAACCACTGGTTTAGGGGGCAAGATCTGAACTCAAGGGGCAAGACCTGAACTCGGAGGTTCGCACAACAGGTGGCCAACCAAAGTTTGTGGTCCTAATTATTTCTGCTCTCTTTTCCCTTTCCCTAAAGGCCCTAGCACAGTTTCCTCTGCACCCATGGTCCTCCAGGCCCTGCTGACTAAGGCATGACTGGAGAGAGAAGCACCCGGTTCCTGACCTCAAAAATTTCCCAATGGTGAATGAGCAGTGTGGCACTTTGTAAAGCTTTATGGAATTAGGATAAATGCTTCTGGCTATTGGAAAACCTTATTTTCATGTGCACACATGTGTGCGTGTGCATGTGTGTGTGTGTGTGTGAGAGAGAGAGAGATCAGCGTGGGCTTGTGCCATACTGCCATAGAACACAAATTTATCTTCATAATAGGGTCCATTATGTTCTCCCATTTCCCCCACAAGTAAGGCAACAAAAACAAATTTTGAGCTTCAACCTGCAGGAGAATGCCAGGATCCCTGTGTTGAAAAAGGGAGCCTTGGTTTGCCTTCCCCCTGCCTTGCACAGACAAACACCTGGAAGGTGCTTCTCAATTCTTTGAGGTTGCTACCTCTCCCATGCAGCTGTCAAATCGCACCCCATCAACATGACACAGCAAATAACACTACGACATGCAACCAGCAACTTTCGAAAGCACGCTCTCCTCACACCCAGCCCTGTCTGCCTTCTCCAGCGTGGGCTGCTGTCTTCAAACTAACCATCCTGAAACTGCTTAAAAGAGCCTGACAGGTAATTTATTCTGTGGCAGAGGATACCAATTTCATTGTCCAGAGGCAAGAGATCCAACTGCAGCAGAAAATCCGTACTCTCAAGGAACACAGGTTTAATATGATAATGATTCCAAGGGTGTGTGTTCATAATTCTTCCTGTTCTTTCCTCCCCTTCCCTAAAGCTGCTAGCGAATGCTTTTGCAGTTTTTTTAAGGGCTCTCCAAAGAACTGACATAGAATAAATCAAATATTTTACCACAAAGGGTGATTATCAAACACTTATTTGTGAAAAGAGTCAACCAGACGGGGTCAAGGCCTAGCTGCTGTTATGGGATTTTTGCCCACAAGTAAAATGTTTTTAAAAATTGCATCTGATTCTCTTTGCAGAAACCCTGCTGGGATCTACAAAGTTTCACTTGGGCACCTGGTAGAGAAGGGGATGAGGAGCAAAAAAGGTTGATGAACAGGACAACATCTGCTTCTAAAAGCAAAGTCAAGGCCGCTATGAACTTATTTTTTCCAAAATAATATGATAGTTATTCTCACATTTTATTTGCTAAAATCCATGCAAAGTAAGTATTATTATTTCCATTTTACATATGAAAACAAACAAGGCTTAGGGTATTGAAAACTCAGCTTCTTCAAATATAATATAGGAACAGTATGGTAAACCACAACTTTGCATGGTGAGTTTCCATCAGAAATAGAGCTAGAACTGAAGCCTCCTAACTCTTAGTCTCTGCCTGCTAGCTCCCGCCCAATGTGACTGCATCACACCTGCATTGCAACAAAAGGTAAATTCTATAGGCAGGTGATTTTTAAACTCGCCTTTGTCACCGAACTTGTTATGGGATCTCGGACAAGATGCCTCCCTTGTTAGTATTTTGGAAGATTGACCAGTAAGGGGAGGCTGATAGCTCCTTAGGTCACAGTTAGTTCTTTCTGGTTGGCAGTGTCCAGCACAGTGCCTGGACTATAATATATCCTCCATAAATGCTCACTGCATTGAATTGAGAACAACAACAAAATTCTCTTAACCCCCACTGATGTTCCCTAGCTAGGAGCACACTGTGATCCGAAGCATAGGACATTGCCCATAGATCCTGAGGCTATAGGACCTAGCATTTCCATGTGCTCATTGCACTAAGCTCAGTGTTTCTAGGTAGTAATGAATTATTTTTTAAACCCTGCATTTGGAGTCTCTTTCATGTCTTTTTACATTTCATATTTATATTTTTAAAAATCATGACTGTACCACATTTTAAAAAACCTATTCAGTCAAATAATAATCCTATTCCTTGGCTGCCAGTCAGGGGAATGAAGGTCTCACAAAGAGTGATTTGCCCAAGGCCAGCAAAGACTGAATATCAGAGAAGGATGATCCCAAAGGTAGACTCAGCTTAATGAGGCCAGAGGTCTGTTGGGGCTTCACTTTGGAGAGGCCCTTCAGGGTAAGGAGTGCCAACGGCTTTGTGAAGTGGCATGCCACCAACACTCGGTCAAAATCACACGCAAGAGTGACACTCCTGACCTCAAGTCACCCGTTGATTACAGTCAGGGGCAAGACAAGGGCATAGATCTTCTGAGGCTGGAGAACCATGTGCTCACCCTATCTGGGAGGAGCCCCAAGCCCTTAATGATCCACGCCTTCAGGGACGCCCAGGTACTCCAGAGACAAAAAGAGAGGATAAATCCAGATCTCAAAGGGCAGAGACTGAGTTATCAGTCAAGGACAAAGAGTGGAAGATTAAGGGAACATAGTGAGTGTCACCAGCCTGGATTCTTGTGTCAGGGCTACAGAGGTCCCTGATGCCAGGAGCTGGGATGAGCCTATGGGTTGTATATAAATTGTGTATGAAGTTACTGCTTGATGCCAGCAAGCACTGAAACAAGAAAGAGGAGAAGCCTGTAAAGATGGAAATGAGGCATCTCCCAACCCCCATCCCACTTTCAGAAGTTTTAACAGATGTCCTTTCCACTCCCTTTTTTCTTGGGAATGCCTCAAGATTCTTACTTTTCTTGAACGGGCAACTTTCCCCACCACCTACGTGTTCTTTCTAGATTCCAATCTGCCGCTTCTCCATGGGGTTCTTTCTGTTCTTTTTCTTTTTTCTTTTGCTGACCTTTGTCCTCCCAAATGTTATCACTCAGAGAAGTCCCCCTCTGCAAACGTCCCCACTTAAGCGTGCTCTGTGCCCAGGCCCTGGACTAAGCACCAGATGTGGAACACTGACCAAGACAAAAAACAGTCCCAGGCCAACCTGAGCTCACAGGGTCAGGCATTAAATAAGGAACCAAGCTGCCCGCATCAGCAATACCTTCTGGCCCCCGATTTTTATGTCTCTGTGATTTACCTTGCCCTGATCTAGCAGACTTCAAGGGATTGGTTGTTGGGGCTGGCAGGGCCTGAGAGGTCAAACCCCTATGCTGTGCCCAAGGCTGGCTGGCGTTTGATGGGATGGCACCAGTAGGGTCCTATGGGTTGCTGACAAATAGTGTCGGCTCTGCTTACCCCAGTCCGTGCTGCACCAGCTTCCATCCTACTGGTTTTATCATGAAGGAGACCAACCAACGGAAGCCTGAGATCACTGTATAATCATGCAGACAGCCAAACCTCTCCATGCTTTTCCCACTCCTGGTGTCTTCAGGGGCCTAGCTCCCTCAGATTCTCTTGGGGAACAAGACGTTTTGCCCAACTGAGAGATGTTCCTTTGCTGATGTTTGGAGGCTTTCTTTCCTTTTTGTGTCCTTCCTTTTTGTGGCCGTGTTCCTACAGCCAAGGCAAATCCAATCAGCAGTACCATCCTTGTTGCACCCCATTCTCTTTGCAGGAGCTTTCCTGGCTTCTGGGCTGCTCTCCATCTGGTTCCAAAGTCCCAAACCTTCAGAGAGAGCAGTCGCACTGCCTGAAGTTTAAATCAATGGGGCAATTTGCTTTCTAGAACTCAAGTCTGCCGATACTCTGTATAGACTTTCTTTCCTCAGTGCAAATGAGAAACTGATGGTTTCATGACTGTGATATCTCTGCCCTCTCTTCCCAGATGTTTCTAGAGTCAATTCCAGCTGCCACCAGGCCTGTTGTCCATTTCCTGGCACGTGATCAGTCAATACAAATAAAGACGATGAGCCGACACTGCGCTTGGTCGTGACCACGTTCCCCTGGATTGCCCTGGATTCAATCTTCCTTTAGACACTTCCCTCTTCATTAACCTCACGTCTGCATCCCTTCTTTATTACACAGAAGTGAAAATATTGCTACTGCAGGATTCAGCAGAGAAAATTTCCAAAGACCAACATGTGGCATCTCCAGGGTTCCCCATCATTTTCTAAATTGGTACTTCTCTCAAATTAAAACATTTCTGGCATGACTTCTTTTCAAAAAATGTGCACTTCCACTCCAAGCAACACAATAATAGACCAATCCCATCAGCGAGCAGAGGAGGGCCATGGATTCCTTTGGCTCCCCCGCTGTCATTCAGTGCTAAAACACTGGCCGACAAAGCCACACCCAGCTCAGTGAACTGGGTGGGATCCCCCGCTTTTGTTGTTTCTCTGCAAATGCCTGGCTTACAAACTGAGCCTGACTGAAAACCTGGGGACCAACTTAAGAACATTATCTTGCTGAATTTCAGCTTTCATGAATACCCTTTTCTAGAATCTGAAAGTCTTTTGTCTCGAAACTCTAGTTCACACTTAACTCCTGTCCTTCAAATTTGGAAATTAAACCAGACACCTTCTCTCATCCTTTTAACGATGCCCTTTGGCTCAGGTGTTGTTATCAGAAAGTAACTTCTTTCTTTTTTTGAGAAGGAGTCTCCGCTCTTGTCTTCCAGGATGGAGCACAATGGCACAATCTCAGCTCACTGCAACCTCCTCCTCCTGGGTTCAAGCAATTCTCCTCCCTCAGCCTCTCGAGTAACTGGGATTACAGGCATATGCCACCATGCCCAGCTAATTTTTGTATTCTTAGTAGAAATGGGGTTTCACCACATTGGAGAGGCTGATCTCGAACTCTCGATCCACCTGCCTCAACCTCCCAAAGTGCTGGGATTACAGATGTAAGCCACTGTGCCTGACTTTCTTAACTGAGGACCCAGTTCTGTCCTTTAAGCATCTTGAACGGCAGGTGTCATCTAATGAACATGTAAAGGGACCTAAGTTCCAGTAACCCCAGGCAGCCTGGTGCATATCTGCGTTAAGGCATGTGTGTGTGTTGGTGTGGGTGTGTAGGATTTGTGTGAAGCTGTGCCAACCTGTGGGTGTGCAACCATGCACCCTGTCCACTTTCCCCACACCTGAGTGCTCTGCTGGTCACCGTCAGTAAACCATACAAGCAAAATCATTTTTCTAGATGTGCAGGAGAAACTGAAAACCAGCACTGTCAGGTGTGTTAAAAGGCATCCCTTTAAGACTGGTTCTCATGAACATCCTGGCTTAGCCAACCACATCCACCCTTCCATGTGTAGGTTAATATTCCCAGTCTGCCACCTGCTCTTCCTCCTATGTGATTTCTGGAGCAGACACAGAGAGACTTGTCTGCGGCAACTCACACCCCACAGCATCTTGATTTTTGTCTCTGGGATCTTCAAAGCCCTCTCCTTGCCACAGCCGAGTGGGTGCCCTTGCCTTGGCACCCACTCAACTATCCAGGTAACTATGTTGCCTCATTGTATTCTCACAAAAACCCTACCCCATCTGAATTCCCAAGGGTTCCATTTTACAGAGGAGGAAATAGAGGGTCAACAAGCTAAGGTAATATGTATGTCTGAGGCCACACAACTAGTAAGCGGTAGATTTGGGATTCCAGCCTAGAGCTAGCTGTTTTTTGGCACCATTCCCCTTTGCAGCAGGACTGCAGCAGACACACACACCTTTGAATTCCTCGACAGGCCTGTGCCTGGACCTTCCATCCTCCCTTCCTCTCCCCACCCACCCACATCCATAATGCACATTTTCATTAGGCTTCTTTGCCCAGTGATCTGCTGATTTGTTATATTAGAATTGCAAACAAATGCTCTCATTTCATCCTCCTATCCCTTCTCTTGCCCTCCTGATGTCTGAAATTCAGCATTGATTTTTCTGGCCCCGCTCCACTGCCTGACTGACATTTCTGGTTGATTTCCCCTTAGAGGCTTGCAGCTGGCTCACCAGGCTCCCGCCAGAGCCTAGAGTGAAATAGCGCCATCACCTGAATAAACGGAATTGGAACTCATCCCCTCCTTCCTGCTCTCAGTGCTCTCACTGTGTCAGAACTCAGTGCCCTCTAGACTCTGTCCCCATTAACCGATTGATGGATATGCACACCTCAGTCCTTCACGATTCTCAACGGGAAGGGGAGGAGGGGAAAACTGTGGAAAATGTCCTGGGAGGTGGGACCAGGCGAGTTTTGATCTCCTAAGTACTGATGTTTTCAGCCATAGCTGGGGTAATTGGACCTCTTGTGGAGGAGAAAGAGGATTACGAGGAAGACCAAATGGACTCAGAGATAGAGGTGGGAAGGGAGCTGGGATACCATATCGCAAACAGAGGACCTCTCATCTCTTAATCCATCAGAAGACTCCATAGAATGATCACTTTTCTAAAACGGGACTTAATAATCCCCAGAGGTCACCTAAGTCAGTCTTCTGTCCACACCACACAGCACATCGTAGGAAGGTGAGCATCTCTCCTAAGTTTAAGAACGCATGCCAGACACAGTGGCTCATACTTGTAATCCCAACACTTTGGTAGGTTGATTGCTTGAGTACAGAAGTTTAAGACCAGCCAGGGCAACATGGTGAAGCCCGTCTCTACTAAAAAAAAATAAAATAAAATAAAATTAGCCGGGTGTGGGGGCGTGTGCCTGTGGTCCCAGCTACTTAAGAGGCTGGGGTAGGAGGATTGCTTAAACCCAGGAGACAGAGGTTGCAGTGAGCCAAGATGATGGCACTGCACTCCAGGCTGGGCAACAGACTGAGATCTTGTCTTAAACAACAACAACAACAACAACAAACACCTCAAACAAACAAACACATATAGCCTCTCTCACACCTTCTAATTTATTTCTCTGATAAGTACACTGGAGTACTAGGTTCCAGACAGAGCTACATTTTCCTCCCAGAACTTCCCATTCCCAGTGCGTGCTGACCAGTGGGTGTCCAAGCTGGTATTTTATGGAAGCTTCCATTTTGTCAATGAGGAATAGGCCCAGTGTCCTGTAAGTGGTCAGTGGTGACCAGTTCCACAAGGAGATGACTCACAGAGGTACACTAGAGTGGCCACTGCCAGCTCACAATAGCTGGTTGTTACATTTTTAGGAAGTTTGTGATCCAGTTGTTAAACTATAGGTAGTTTGAGAACACCAGGGCAGAAGTATTTACACCATAGAAATTGGCATATGCTATACATCAGGGCTTCTTTTTTCTGCAGAGCCAAGAGTTTCATGAAGAGGGTGCCCAGTCACATGATCAACATAGATAGAGGGAGAGGCATAGAAAGGGTGGGGTGAGGAGGACGAGGTGGAGGCAAGTCAGGGAATCCACATTCTTCAGTACCCTGGGAAAAGCAAACTCTAATCACCTTTCCTTTCCTTCTTTCCTAACCAGGAAACATCTTATTCCCTCTGCATCTATATGTTATTTCTTCTCTAAGGAAAGTAGTTATTGTTTCATGTTCTCAGACCTAAAATGGAGAAAACTAAAGAGACAGAACTTTGGATCCTATCATTTCTCAGAAGCTGTGAGTCAGAGCAGGAAGAACCAGCAAAGAGCTCTGAACCACGGACTGAATTCTATATGCACATTTATACATAGCCCAGTTCCAGTTGTTTCTAGAGATTTCTTGTGTAGAAATATCTATACCAGACAACAGCTAACTGTAGAGTTCATCAAAATCAGGGATTGTGCTCTTCTTTTCTTATATAACCATTGTTGTACCTGGTAAGATATTGATGTTACAACAGGTAATTAATAAAATGTTGGTTTATTAATTGAATCACTTTGAATTGAATTGAACTGGTGGCAAACCACTGGCTTATGATCAGACATCAAGACTTTTCAAATTCCTTTTCTAAGAGGTAAAAATGAGCTGCTTGGCTGGTGAGCTAGACCAATAGACACTGATTAGGCATACACATGACCTTATAAGTTATCTTGAGCTCATACCCCTGGCTCTACTCATTCCTGTATGGTCCAGTTGACTGGCTTCGCTTCTTTCTCCGCAGTTCTCCTGGCTCCTGGCCTCTTACTCAGATCCATGTGCTTTGGAATTTGGGTTCTTAGTAAGCTGGTAACTTGGCCCCTGACAACATTCAACTGCGCACCTTGATCAACCCAAATTAAAACAATTCAAAGTCTAGTCAGGTCAAGACAATGAAGTTGGTGGCCCACCATGTCCACATTCAGAGGTGGACTCAGAAGCCAGGAGGAACCGTGTTCTCTAAACCCCCAACTCAATCAGTGTTTCCCACTGCAGATGATCCATTTCAGGGAAACCATGCCCAAAGAAATTCATGGACAGATCCTGGTCACATGGCACCAGCTCTACTCCCATAAAGGGGTGAGGAGGCAGAGTTACCTCATTTGGAAACCTGTCCTTTTCTGGATTCTCAGTCACATATGACTGCCACCATTGGTCATGCTTCTCTCTTTCCTGACAGCTTCATCCAGAACCAGAGGCAAAAAGCCTTCAGTACCCTGTACGAAAGCCCAGGTTTGCTGGGCTGGGACACTGACTCAACAGAGAGGCCCGTCCTCCCCAACCTAGTGGTAGAAGTCCAGACAACTTCCACCCTAAGTTGGCAGTGGGCGTTCACCTTGGGGGAACCAAGACCTCTCTGAGAATCTTCTCAAAGATTTTGGAAAATGCTCACTCATCCATTGTTTTACAGACAACCTTACAGAGTTCAGAGGCTGTGACAGCCCCTCTGGGGGCCCTGGGCTAATGGCCTCGGATGAAATACCTCTCTCAGTCACACTGTCCATTTCCTTCCTGGACACCAGCTCCTGTTTTTCATTTCTTGAATCCCCTCTGTCCTCCAGGAAGGAAGATGACTATTCTACGGGTCCCCTCCAGATACAGGTGAGCGCACTGATATCCACAGAGGCCATGCAACTTGCTCAGGCTCACACCAAACTTACTAGGAGAGATGGGATCGGCAGGTAGGTCCGGGAGGCTGTGGCTCTTTCTGGAATCTAATGTAGCCACATAGTGCTGTGTTTGTGGATCTCAGAAGCAACCACATCAAAACCGTGGCCTCCACTCCTCCTCAGCTATGAAGAAGGTATGAAACCTCATACACAAAGTTTCAAAATGGTAGGGAGTACTCCTCCAAGGAAGCAGGTAGGTCTTTGCTCAGAGGTAGGCAGGACACGCAATTAGCTCTGTGTGT